AGTTAATAAAGCACGCCTAGACACATATTAAGCGTTCGGCTGCCAAGTTAATTGCTTAATTTTGAGCTTACTGCCAAGTTGTGGCGTTTCGCCCACACCTCGCTTTTCAGGACACTGCATAAAACTGTATATTTTCTTTACAATGACATCGGGGAAAATGTAAAACAAGAAAGTGATGAAAGACAATGATAAAATATTAATAGCTTGTGTTAGTGCGGTCTTCTCTTTATTCTCATTATGACATACTAGGAGTGGAATTTGCATTTCTGAAAATTTCAGTCATTACAGTTTTATCTTCAATCTATTCAGCATTGTTTCTTTCAGTTGTCTATGACTGTAATTGTAATGCTTGCTCTGGACATCTGTTTTACAGATAAGAGGCATGCATACCCTGATTCGTGATCAAGATATATCGAAGCATGACTTTGTGTTTTATTCAGATAGGCTTATTCGTTTGGTAAATTTTTAACTATCTTAATCTTGTCAAAAATGCGAAGTCACTAGAATTTCCAAACATGGAAGTTTTTAATAAGTGGCAATTCAGGTAGTTGAGCATGGTCTTGGTCATTTACCTTTCACTGAAAAGCAAATAGTTACTCCAACAGGTATGCTAAATAGCTGTATTCTAGGGGAGGCATGCCCTCAGTTATATTCCTTCGTCTTTCTATTTTTTTTCCTTTTTCTTCAAAAGCTTTCTTTTCTAGTTTAGTTTCTCCATTATCTCATTAAAGTGAATTTTTGTGCAAAGAATCACTATCGTCATTGTTCAGCCTAGCCTTGAGAAAAGAAACCCAAAAGGAACAAAATCAACATGGTCTAATATGCTTACAAAATGCTTGATTTTGTTTGATCACCTAGCGATGGGTCGAATTGAGTGGGAAAAAAATCCTCTTGTAGCAGGTTCTAAAGTTACTTTTGAAGGCTAAGGTTGTCATTATTTGAATTAAGCCTCACAAAATGTTTGATTTAGTTTGATCATCTAGCAATGGTTCAAATTAAGTGGAAAAACATACTCTTTTCACAGGTTTCAAAATTATTTGAAGTAAGGCTCAATTTGTCATTTTCTTCATCATTGTTGTGGTCCTCAATTTCTACAATATGGCACTTTTTCCTGAACAATGAAGAAATCATCACCGTCATTTTAAGAAGAATTAGAAGTTGTTGGAAACCTCTAAATCTTTTCCTCTCCACTGCCATAGCTGGAAGGATCTAGAAGAATCAAGAATGTATCCATGTCTAGAAGATGCTAGAAGAATCCAATTACTATCACCATCGCCATTTATGGATGTATCTAGAATTAGGATTGTAACATCACCACCATCATAGTAGAACCATCCACCACTGCAATTAATACCTATAAATACAAGGTGGCTATGTGCTTTGTGGATGCATGAGTGATGAGAGAGTGTGTAGAGATAAGTAAGAGTAATTAGTGCTCTCTTGAGTATTATTAGTGGTGTGTTTGTCTAAAATTTTGTAAGTGATTTAATGTCAATAAAATCATTTTCTTTTAGGTTTAAGCTCAACAATTTGGTATCAGAGCTCAACAATTTGGTACCAGAGCGAGGTGGTTGGGAAAGGAATTTTGAGCTTCTCTAGATCGTGCACAAAAGGCGATTGCGAAGCTTTCATAAAACTTGCTTGTAATTCAAGTCATGATGGGCGACCTACAAAGTGGTAGGTGGAATGAGAAAGCTCAATAATCAAAATTATACAATATGACAAACTTACATGGAGTCATATCTCTAAGGCAAGACTTACGGGAGGTAGTTGGCGGAAATGACATGATGTCGGCAGAGGATGCCGGAGCTCTAAAAGAGTGGAGAATGAAAGTAGGTAAGGCTTTGTTTATTATAAAGATAACAGTTAGGAAGAATTGTTGGAGCACATAAGGGATAAGAACACACCAAAACTTTGGCCTCACTGTTCTCGAAGAAAAATGATTTGATGTTGCAATTGCTAGAAAACGAACTGCTCTTGATTACTCAAGGTGAATTGACGGTAAGTCAATATTTCAATAATGTTAAATCTTTCTGTTATGAAATTTCTGAGTTAGATGCTTCAAGTAAGATTTCAGAGTCTAGAATGAGAATAATAATCATATGCTTCAAGTAAGATTTCAGAGTCTAGAATGAGAAGAATAATCATACATGGTTTGAGACTCGAATTTAGAAGTTTTATTGTCACAATATAAGGTTGGCCATTGGTCAATCTTGAGAATTTGCTGATCGATCAAGAAGCGTTAATCGGGCAAATGTTAGGTGCCTTGATAAAGAAAGAAGAGGAAGAAGCACTAAATAGTTATAGAATAAGAGGTTGACCTCGTTAACATAATAATAAAAATTTTAAAAAATAAGCATGAAGAAGGTTCCGTGAACTAAATAAAGTTATGACAAGAGAGGTCAGTCGTCCAAAAGATGTCAACAAAATAATGGCTTGTACCTTGTATGTGGAAAACGAGGTCATTATACTAGAAATTGTTGGTTTAAAAAGGAATTAGCAGAATGTAACATAGCAACCCCTAATAAGGAAGAGAAATACAATAATGAAGAAGTATGGGATGCTGAGGCATCCACAACAATAATCGAGTAGGTTGGGAAGAAGTAATTCAATTCAAATATAAAGAACGAATTAGCGTTGATGATAGTCTTGCCTGAGCAAATGGACTGTGAAGATGATTGGACCGATGACTCAGAAGAGGATATCATGGTGCATGAAAAGCCTTCTTGGTGGACTCTGCAGAGGGAGGAACTACTAGGCTCAAAAAAAGCGATTGAAGAATTACATTCTTTGGAGACATCACAGAGGGTGGAACAGACATTGAAGAGGGTGGATATGCTAGATTCAAAGAAAATAGAAGACAAATTGCAAGTGAAGATCACAGAAGTATGACCCTTTGAAAACCCGCAAGTAGACAGGATCGTGAGCAAGTAATATAATAGTGTGTAGAGGGAGAACTTACGAGTACTATGTGTTTGATCGATTTAAAGCTATTAATACCTTTAATCGAACAGCAATAAAGAGTTGTAGCGAATGGAAGTCTAAATTATCAATTAACTTGAAAGCAAAGTAAAATTTTATCAAATTCGTTAGATATATTGCTAAGATGTAAAATTCCCTTTGCTACTCAATTTTTAGTTCAATAATTTAAATTGATAATTTGAAATCTTGCTTCTTGTTCAATACTCCTATTTTAATTGAAAACATCTCTCAATAGTTATCAATTTTATTCCCCTCATGTGACTTTTCTATCTCTTGATAAAAGTTGCGAGTATGATAAATACATTAAACGAGTTAAAACATCAATAAAAACCGTGTGAAGCATAGATATATATTCTATCTTCTATCGAACCTCACAATGCATATTACTACGTGTCAATGATCTTATTATCTCTCTCGATGACAATAAAACCCACAAACAATTCAATTAATGACCAAGTAATTGAAAAGCAAACAAAATCATAATAAACATCCAAACATTCAAACAAATTAACGTCAATCTAGCTCCTATTTGGAGGAAATTTTTAGGGCAAAAAAATCAATTTTTGGACCGTTTGCACCCATTTGCAGCTATTTTTGCTGACGAAAGCTCTCACATGTAGGTCTTAGGTGACCCAAAAAGGTCAAAAAATTACTTTTTTGGTGGAAAAGTTGCTCCAAACAAGGGCCTAATTTATTCAAACCAAAAGTTTCATAACAAAGGTTTATCTCATCCTAGCAATATGAAAACCTAGCCAAGCATATTGAAATTACAAAACATCATTCTAAGTTGAATAAACATGACTTGAAAATCAAATAATTGAAGAGAAATCTGAAATTCTTGAATATCTTCAATGAGTTCTTAATATCTCTTGAGTTTTCCTTCTTATCTTTGTGCGCACTTCTTGGTGTGAAGTTTTCTCGATGATCTTCTTGCAATTTCACATTGTACTCTACCACAAATATGAATTTCCTTTCATTTTGTGATGAATTGATGGGATATTAGAGTATATTATGTATATGAGAGATATATGAGAGGTCCTTTAATGTATTCTGCTGTTAGGTATTTTTAGGAGTCGAAAATTAGTTAAAAATCATGTCTAAATTGGGTTCTAAAAAAGTTTTAATTGAATAAGGAAAGTAATCTTTGCATGCAGATTTTGTCTCTACACTACAGTCAGTATTTTGATCATAACTTTGTTTCCCGATATCCAATTGAGTTGATTCAAAATGTGTTGAAAAGGTAATTCAAAGGGCTACAATTTTGATAGAAGTATAATTTTTTCCAATTCGAGACTTTTACTATACCAAAAATGGGTCTCAATTTTTGACTGAAAATCTAGAGGATATTTTTTGTGATTGGAAGTTGATTTATGGTAATATTCTGATCATATTCATTTCTTTTTGACTTCTAATTGCTTCCAATTGACTTCTATCAATTTTCAAAGCATCTCTTGTGGTCCAAATCAATAATTGGATATTTGCAATATGGTCCTCAAACTTTGTACTTTGCCATTCCCCCCCTTTCGCTTTTGTCTTCTATTCAACTTTCAGCTATCGAATTTTACATAATAAGCGAAATATACAATAAATTAGGCTATAATTGCTTAAAGAACTATTAAATATCGATATTTTTAAATTCAAATAAGTGTATAAAATAAACTTATCAAAGTACAACGAAGCGACGAGCGATATAAAGATCTACAGGTATCAAATGTCAAAGAAGAATTTATAAAAGCAATACAAAGTCCTGGACAAAATGGTGTGGATCAAAAAATGATGGTGAAGGATCGATAAAGTCAAGTACGTACAAATTTACAATCACAAATAAAGAAGTCGAATAGACATGAGAAATCAAATATCAATTATCTTAATTTGAAAATCGATAAAGATGAAAAGAGCAAGATATATTTGAAGCAGCGGATGCATTAAATGGAAGATCGATAGCTTCAAAACTTGTCGAGCTTGAAGCGATGCTTAACGTGATGAAAAAGAAGAGAGTCAAAATAAAAAGTTGGTGCTAAAGGGGAGAATTGAGGAAATCATCACTGGCATTTTAAGAAGAATTAGAAGTTGCTGGAAACCTCTAAACCTTTTTCCTCTCCACTGCCATAGCTGGAAGCTTCTAGAAGGATCAAGGAGCAGCAAGTGACTTTGATGGAAAAATCTAGAATGCATCCATGCCTAGAAGATGTTAGAAGAATTCAATTACTATCACCATCATCATTTATGGATGTATCTAGAATTAGGATTGTAACTTCACCACCGTCATACTAGTACCATCTACCACCGCTATTAATACTTATAAACACAAGGTGGTTGTGTGCATTGTGGATGCATGTTATGTTGCTCGGACTCTCCAAAAATGGAGAAGTATCCATGTACACATGACATGACATGGATACTGACACAGGATATGGATCGGATTCTTCGTTTTACACTTTGACACGGTGAGAAGATGGCGGAAGGTGTCTTGCTTCTCTGGCGGCTGAAGAATTTGCAGAGAGAGATGTTTGGGGAAGATAATGAATTAGGGTAGACGTTGAGTTTTAGAGTGGTTAAATGGGCTTTTGAGCAGTCTAATAGATTGAGTTAATGAGAGTGTTTTAAATGGGCCCTTGTGAAGTCCAATGAATTTAGATAATGAGTTTATTTTTGTATAATTTAATTTGAGTTTATTTTTATATAATTTTTTTATTTCTTATATTTTATCTTTATGAACATTTTATGCTGTAATTAAAATGAATAAGTGATATATTATTTATTTGGTATTACATTTAAATTTATTTCTATAATTGTTTTTAAATAATATATTAGACATTGAAATTGATTTTTTCCTTAAATTTTTGGAAAAGAATTTATTTTGACTTTAAATTTAAATTGATTTCAAATTATAATTCAATTGTTTAAATTGATTTTAATGAAGGAGTTGATAAACAAATTGAGTTCATTTTTTAACAACCAATATCAGTTAATTATGTTTACAGTTTAATTTAATATTGTGGTTATTTCCTTTAATTGAAAATTTTTTCTGTGTTATTTTGGCATTATTCTATGATTTTTAAAAATAAAAAAATTGCAAAATTTGGATTTTTTTTAACCGTATCCCTATATTTTAATTTTTACAATGATGAGGATCCGACTCCTAAATATGTATCTATATCCGATACCCGCACCCGAGTCCGAGCATCATACGATGCATGAGTGATGAGAGAAAGTGTGCAGAGATAAGTAAGAGTAATTAGTGCTCCCGTGAGTATTATTAGTGGTGTGTTTGTCTTAAATTTTGTAAGTGATTTTATATAAACAAAATAATTTTCTTTTGGGGTTTAAACTCAACAAACAACTACTAGATTTATACGTTGTACTAAAAGAAGTGTGTACGATGTATTTGTATGACAAATATGTTTGGAACAAACTATATTGGAGTCAACCAACCATTTTTCAATCTGAATGCTGACAGGCAATTGGTTGTAAACCATTTTCGTAGACTCATTTTCAAGTTATGCAAACCTGCCCGATTCTTTGTGACTGTGCGCTTCAACGCTGATACATGAAGCAAGTTTGTTGGCATTCTGAACTGCCTGCTAATCATAGAAATATCTGAGCTATGAATTTTTTGAACTTCGCTGGGATTCTATTGCAGGATCATTTTATACTGGTGTTGACTTCTGCAAGAAATTGTGTGGAGTTTCCATTGTTCGAAGGTGAGGGTACTTATTAGAATAATGTGAATGTGGCTTCAGTAATGTTGGTTTACTTATTAGAAGAAAAAGAGTTTTTTGGTTAATTTACTTTGAGGAAACATATTTATTATTTGAAATATTCCTAGTATCTCAGGTTTCACTTTTGAACTCCCTTTAAGCCACCCTTGGATTTGTACCATGAGCTGGGTTTGGGATATTTTACTTTGTAGGCCGTGTTTTCTTCTTGGTTACCTTTTTTTCCCTTTGTTTGTGAGACGGTATTGTTATTTTGGCTCAATTTATAATTCTAAATTTAGTAATTCATCTATGAATTTTTGTTGTTTTTGGTGTCTTTACTTCTCACAGTGGTGAAAGTATGGAAAATGCTCTGCGTGCTTGTTGCAAAGGAATTAAAATTGGGAAAATTCTGATCCACCGTGATGGCGACAACGGGAAACAGGTTATCTTTCACTTGTTTTCTCTAAGGGAGCCATCTACCAGGGTGTCATGTTTGCACTACTTCACAATTGAACGTATAATGCCTTGTTCTTTTTCTCCTATTTGAACAGCTTATATATGAAAAACTTCCAAAAGATATTTCGGAACGCCATGTCCTCCTCCTAGATCCAGTCCTTGCTACAGGTAGCCAAATTTTATCATTCATACATAGTTGCTTGGAAAGTTAAAATTCTAGTGTGAGGGTTTTCTTCCATCTTCCTTTTTGTATTTCCTGCCACATAGTAGAGTGCATGGGAATTGCAGACGAGGCTATACTTTCTATCTTTTTCTTGTATGACATCAAATAACATATTTATTAATTGTTTTTGAAGGTAACTCTGCTAATCAGGCAATTGAGTTACTCATACAGAAAGGTGTTCCAGAGTCTCATATTATTTTCCTAAACCTCATCTCCGTGAGTGCCTTCTGAAACTTTGTTGAAGGAAACTCCTTTTTTGACAGTATTGCAACATTTTCTCACTCTAGTGTTTGCTTTATGTACGAATATAGGCACCGGAGGGAATTCATTGCGTTTGTAAACGTTTCCCCTCATTAAAAATTGTGACATCAGAGATTGATGTGGCACTGAATGAAGAATTTCGCGTGATACCAGGTTTGGGAGAATTTGGTGATCGTTACTTTGGCACTGATGATTGATCCATACAGGTTCAATATTGCGCGTTACCTGTTGGTCTGCTCATTAACTGTAAATTAAGGCCGCCAGTCTGTTTATATTCACACATTACGACGTGCCCTTGTTTTCTGGATGATTATGGGATCGCATATTTTTATGGTTATTTACTATTTAGCATCCCTTAAATCTGAAGGTAACAAAATCACGTTACCCAAGTCTGCGACGACTGGGACTTCGAAGCAATGATGTTACAAAAGCATTTTTTATAGTTCCAATTTCTACCTTATCATTTTCCTATATTTTCATGTTTGTTTACTCTTCATATCGGAAAGTTGGCATATTTTTCTTTATGATGAAGGGACATAAAAGGTTCTGATGAATGACACTTCCCGCACTAATTATATGTTTCGACTCTATAAAAGACTACCCTAAAATCTTGGTACTAGATCCCCTATGAGGCTGGGTGAAATATGTTTGAAATGAAATTCATGTAGTTTCTCAATTGCAAATTCTGAATGCTACCATCTTTGACATAATTTCCTATTCTTTGCAAACAACCAATCTAAGGCTTAGCCCAGTGGCGAATTTAGGATTTTGAGTCAGCACGAATGGTCGTTGATTGTGGACCGTTAACCGCAATAAAGTATTAAGAGCCCGTTTGATGTCATTTTTTTTAAAACAAAAAATGCATTTTGAAATAATGATTTCATGGAGAACTTGAGGTCAAAAATAAGAAAAAAGTTTTGAATTTGCGTGTAATATTATTTTATTGAAAAATGTATGGTTAAAAATAAGATAGATAAAAATGTATTTTGAAAAAAAAATGAAAATAAAACAAGGCCTAAAATTTAAATATAACAATTATTTTATTCATATTGAATATATATAATTCTGTTATATGAAATAAATCGTATATTCACCAAATGATATTGTTGCCAAGTATCGTATAATTTAAAGGAAGGGCATGATTTTGAATCTTTATAATTTTATTAAACCCAATAAATGTAATATATCTTATTTTGTTGAATTAAATGCGAAAAGCAATAAATTTCACAGTGGTCAGGCTTTCAATGATTATAATAAGGGTTCAAGGTTTGAATATCATCAAACTCTTTCCTATTGCATTAATTTTGATAGTTGTTGTAAACTAAAAAATTTGCACAATGAATTGGCTGTGAAGAGATTTGAAATCGGGACTTGCAAAATATAAATATAAGCTCTAACCACTTCAACTAGAGGAGAATTTAGAAGAGGAAAGAATTATCAATAATATAACCTAAAACCTTAATTTATTGTTAGTCAAAAAAAATGACTTTCGATGGATCCAGCTAGAACGACCGTCCTAGCTCATCACTACCTAGATCCGCCACTACCCGCCTTAGCCAACAGATTAAAAGCACCATCAGATATTCTTGATGGCACATTTTCCTCGCTGCACTTGTTTTGCAATATTAGTCTCCTGTAGGATCTTCGTCGCCATAATTCAATCCTGTCATGCTTGGAGGAATTGGGACACTGAGGCTGTTAAAATTATATATTCTTGTTTAATAATCACGGGAAATGATTTTCCATCTCAAAGAGCTTTATAGTTTTTCTTAATGTAAGGTAATTTCCGTCGTAATAACCCAGTCTCTTAAATAATTATATGCCCAATTGTTTGGACATTATTCATTGTTAATTGGGTAACAAAATATTTATCGGAATCAGGAAGTGGAGAATCAATCTACACAGACGGGGCTTCTCGGCATGGCGAATCCAAACGAACTAATATCCCACGGATTAGTGAAATGAAATTTGCTATTTCTAATAGTAAGAGAGAACAAACGTGTATTTGTTGAGTTGCAGCCTGTGGCCTGTGGGGATGTTAACATTGATTTCAAAGTAAAGCCGATTTGGCCATCTCCTCTGTCGTAAAGTAATTATTCGTTCCGAGGTTCAAAAGTTTACTTGGTTGCTGGTAGAGTAGTGTAATCGTATGTTTATGCTTCTGATTCCTGCTATATGGACCAAGTTCTATGATCCTAGCACTGTAAAAGGAAACACAAAATATTGGAAAGAATTTGAACATTTTAAACTGTGCTAATAATGGCAAAATTATTTATGGAGCAAATGCAATCTTTGTTCAGGTTTATTTGAATGAATAGAAGTATTCCAATTCTGTATTTATTCCCTCTCAATGGGTCTAATGAGGTAACGTGTATCATAAACTGAAGCTTGCTTGAGATGATGTTTCACATGATTAACGTTTCACACACCTATGGTTGCCATTTACCTATGAATCTCGAAAAGAATGGAAAGCTGTAAATGCAAAATTAAAGTAGAAAAATCTACAAAAGAATGCCATGTTTCTCTTTCCATCTTGTGTTCAGAGCTTCAATGTCCCTTTTTTACTTCCACTGGATTTTTCTAGATGAGGGAAGGCACTCAAAATGTTGTGGGCTCTCAAATCTTGCCTAGTCAAAATTCCCACCACCGGAAACACCTGTCAAAGAAGCAAACGTCAGGTCAGATGTTTCAATTCTTAGAGAAATTGGTTTCACCATTTTCTTTGCATTATATGTTTTTCACTCAATATCACGTTACACGAGAAATTCTTCTTACCATTAGTGGAAGGATTCTAGAACTGAAGTTCTTAAATATAATTAGCTCATGAACTTACCCCGGCTGCTTGATATTTAGGTAAAATGAGCATGTGACGGAGCCCAACCTGCCTGAAGAGCACCATAGCCTTTGCCACTGATATGCTTTCGACCACAGTGTATGGGGTTGTATTGGTTAGGGGGTGCAAGTCTACATACATCTCCATTTCGTCCTCTGTCACCATTACCTCTTCTATCTTCACCCCCCTTTCAGCTAGATCGATGGATGTAAATTTCTCTCTAACTTCCCATTCCTCTGTTCTCCTTCTTTCTTGCAGGAACCATTTCTTCTTTAGCACTAAAACAAGATGAGCTCTTAGGACTAATCCATGCAGTTCAGTTGCTCCAATTCGCGAACCCATTGGTGGTACCACCCCTTCATCTACAACTGGGAAACCATTGTGTGTGGTGTTCTTCAAGATTTCCACAATACGTCCCACCTTCTCAATACCACTAAGAGTTACGACTGCTGGCTTTACATCAGCAAGCTCTCCAACTGTGATATTTCTCATCCATGGCTCAGGATGTGCATCCAAGAAAGGAAGTCCCTTTAGTTCCAGTATTATTTCATAGATGCTTGGATTGAAGCAGTCTCCTACAGTTTTAGCAATTAGTAGAACTAGCATTGTAATGGGTAGCAAGAGAAGGTTGTTGGTAAGTTCAAGAAATATGACACAGAGAGAAACTGTCATCCTCATTGAACCAGCCATGAGGGAAGCCGCTCCAAGAACGGCATAAAGTCCCTGATCAATTTTTGTGTATGGTCCCATGGCAGTACCAAGCATGCGACCATAAGCTGAACCCATGAGGATGATAGGGAGGAACAGACCAGATGGGACGGCAATGCCAAATGTTACAAGTCCCAAAATGCAATACAGTGCAAAGAAGATAATTAGGGAAAGAATTTCATATTCTCTTGGAGTACTGATGGAAAAGATGTTCCGAACAGCATCATCGTTGGTTGTAAGGAGAAGAGTAGCTAGGTCGTTGTAGTAATCCTTTGGGCAGTTGAATTGCTTGAAGTTTCCTGCCCTTCCAGTTGTGGGACAGGAAGAATCTGGTAGCGAGGGATCACAAGGTCGGCATCTTGCAAGGAAAGGAAGTCCATAGAGGCACACAGAGGTGAAAATGGAGACACTAAGGGCTAAAAGAAGTTTATGAAATTTTCCCTTCCTGCAAAATGACCGCAAACTGAAAGGTCAGATTTAATTTACAGGGTGAGTTTTGATTGAAGGCATATGTTCAGGAAGTTTTTCGAACTTGAGACAAATTTTCCAAGCAATGATTGATACAGTTGACTACACTTTACCATATTTGCTACCTCAAAATCTACTCAGACAATCATGACCTGGACATGGAAATAAAAGTTTGTGCTTACTCATTTATGAGATTGTAGACCCTCAGGATCTTGTGGAGAAGATGGTTGTAGAGGCTCCCTAAGACGCCACCAAGGACTCCTATTAGAGCAACAGGGATAATGTCGACGGCGTGGTACCTTACGGAAACATTACTGACATCAAACATGATCAACCCTCCTTTCCCAAATAGTCCACAGTTTCCAGATTTGCAGATTTCCATGAAGGCCCTAAGCACGACCACCACAACTGCAGTACCGAAGAAAGTTCTCCAGAGGAGTGCACTTCTCCACCACGTTGCCACCTCCTCAAGAGCAAAGAGGACACCACCAACTGGGGCACGGAAAGCAGCACAGACTCCAGATGATGCACCACAGGTGATGAGATCACGACGGTCCCTGTCATTATTGAAGTACCTTAGCCAGCGCCATTTTAAACGGTAATTGTCTGGCCCACCTTGACCTAATAGCGAAGCAATGCAGCTCCCTATGTGTACCAAAGGCCCTTCTTTTCCAAGATCTAAGCCTGCAGACACAGCTCCAACGCTTCCAATGATCTGTAATGGTGAAGATTGAAGATAGTAGTAAACCTTCCAGCTAAAAACAGGTGTATGAAACTTTCAGCATATTCATTGATAATTTTCCCCTCATAAATATCATATAAAGGGAATTCTCTCCCTCGATCCTTATGAAAGTATATTTACATTTATGTCCATCATGAAACTGTATCCTTCATTACCACAATTGTGAGCCAATAGAGAAGGTTGCAGCAAAGCTATACTCAGTTATGGAAACAACTGTTGTTGGTATTAAGTTAACATGTCCTGATTTAAACTGATACAAATATAATAGTTAATAAAAAGTATCACCATCAATAACAATTCTGAACTGATATCTGATAAGAAGCCAACTAAGTACTGGTCAATAGATAGTTCATAAATCATTTCTCAAAATTGATTTAACATTTGCCGTTCTCTAATAAAACAACAAAAAACTAAGTTTTGTTCCCAGCAAATGATGCACCTTAACGATCAATGTTGTTGCACCAAACATATTTGGGGTATCAACTCCATTCAGATAAGCTTTAATTTCTGGAATCCCGGGACCAGCTGCTGTAGGCGCAAAACAAACACAGAGGATGGCAGCTACCAAGGTTAAAAGAAAATTTGCTCCAGCAAAATATGCAAACCCCATTAGGTATCTGCACCCACCAAAATAATTTCCAATCCATTTCAAAATCACCATTACTTTAGTGTCATATCGATTTAGCTATTAGCAAGACAGTTGAAAAATATAAATTAGAATG